CCTCATCCACTGGCCCCTCCTGATGCAGCTCTGCCATGTACCTGATGTTGCATGGCAGAGCTCCTCCTGCATAGCCTGCAATTTGGTGCACCTTTAAGGTGGAAGTTCAGATTGTTTTTTTCCCTTCCTGCAACACGTTTGATTTGCTTATGTGCTTCATATACTGGAAATGGCTATCTGGTTTGCATGATAGGAAAAGTACATAGGAAAATGTAGCTGTCAATGGCTACTAATCATGATAGCTATGTGGAACCTCTGGTACAAGGGACGCTGCATGCCTATTTCTGTGAACACTGTCAGCATGAGAGCCAGATTCACCTTGCAAGCACCTGCAGAACCAGGAATACGCTGCAGCTGCTTGCATGGAGCAGTTGCGTGGCAATTAGGCAGCGCAGCCGGAGAGCTGCTTAAAGGGTTTCACTGCACTGCGGTTCCTTGCCACAGCAATCTAAGAGCTTTGGTAACTGCCTTGTGTGCTGGCCTCTAGCGTCCCTTCCCCTGAATCCTTGTTCCTTCCTGCCCATCTCCAATCTCTTCCTGCTTCCATCCTTGTATCCAGGTGGCTCTGCTCTACCAGGTACCTACACCCATCTCACCTTACTCCCTAATATGATTGTCTTTCCAGTACTCTGGCCCTCTAAACCCAGTGTAAGCTTCCACTCTGCATCTGCAGCCTGATCCTGGTATCATGATTGCAGTTGTCTGTCACCCATGCCCTGGAACTTACAAACAGTAGAGGGCTGATGTGCCTGTGCCCCATTTGTAAGCTTCCTCTGGGCATCTACTAGGCCTTTTTGTCAAAAGGAGGCTGGACCAGGCAGTCTTTTCATCTGACGCAGCAGTGCTCTCATGTTCTTATCCTTGAAGGTCCTGAGAACATTGTATAATAGCACTGAAAAGTAGCCAATTATATTCTTGGATGAGCATACTTCCACATGCTTTCTCTGCTATATGGCATAAAAAGCCCCAAAGAGACATTATTCCGTTCAGACATTTAAAAGGCAAATAATCCTCATAGGCTGAGTATATGGTCGCACTTTAGATATAATAATTGCTCCTGCAGGCAAGCAAACTTTCTGAAGTACCAAGGTGTATATTTGGGTTTAGCTGATTTCTTACAAGCTCTGTAATGGGTGCCTGAGAGTGTATGCAATTACAGTAACAGTTTACCAAGGGGAAAAAGAAGTTTGTTAGATGCAGGACAGTATTAGAAAACAAGCAGATTACATAAATATGCAGAAGCGCATCTTCCATTACAGCTGGAAACTCACATTTAGTGAGAGGATCTTTGGATCTGTATATTCAATATCCAGTCCTTGGAGTAAAAAGTCAATTCTGTAGAAGTAGGAATTGCACTAGATTAAGTGTTTGTAGGGTTTGGTACAATATTAGGAACTTGCAGTAAAAGGGTGCCAGCTTCCTCCTTGTGCTAACCACTGCCTTTCTGTTCCTCTTTTCCATCATTAATGCCAGCACACCTCCAAGGCCTGCCTGACATTTAGCAGGAAAATACAGTCTTCCATATTGTCAAATTAATACCTTGAGTATATGGGGCCATAGAAATACTTTAATGAAGCACAGACAAACCAAACAGCTAATTCTCATAAAAAGCAACTGGGGTGGTATATTAATTCTTGGACAGCATCATATCAGATAGTGGCGGACAAGTCTCACGTGACTAAATTATCCCCTTTGAAAACACATTCCTACCTTTATGAAGGGGGCATTCTAGACTAAGGATGTCAGATCTGCCATGGATGTAATGGAATCTAGATTTCTATGAATCTGAGCCATGAATTCTGCAGCAGATTGGTTTTTCCTGAGTTGCACAGAGTCTACAGACTTGCAGACCATTTTTTAACTTCCAGTAATTTTACACAGTTGCAGAAAATTTATGAATGTTTTAAAATGGTCACAGAAATGTATTTATATGGATTTATGTAAATTAACATATGCAAAAATGTGCAAGTTGCCCCAAATTGCACCTTTTCAGATTAAAGTGAAAAAATGTGCATGGAGGGGATTTGTGCATTTTTGCAAGTGTGAATTTGGACAAATGCATCCAAACGCATTTGCGCAAGTTCTGATTCCATCAATGAGCAGATGCCAGAACAAACAGAGCCTGCCACTCCATGAAATGCAGACAGAATTGATTTAACATAGCCCATAAAGTTCTAGGCTAGATTCTGCTTTGTATCTAGTTTTCTAGGCAAAAGGATAATTGTTGTTATTGTTATGTTATATGGAGGAACAGGCAGCCACATGAGTCCTGTCCTGGAATTGGGAGTGGTAAAGCCCAGGCCTAGGGTTGTAAGACAGGCTGCTTGGAAACAGGGAGACCTGCTGTTTCTGGGTGATGTGTGAAACAGCTGCTGCTGTTTAACCGCCTTGGGCTAGCCATTTACGGGGCTTTTAAAAGATGTCTGTGTGGTTACAGAAGTTCCATTTAAACAGCATATTCTAGTACTATAGTAATCCAACCAAATCCTTAATTTCCAATTAAGGGGGATTAATGTGAAAAACATTTTACATTCACAAAGACTATCTCACAACGATCCCTCATAATTTCTGGATATGGTGAATTTCATTACAAGCCATTTATTAACCCCACTTGGGAAATTGCCATACTTCTAAGAGTCTTTTTTAAAGTTATTAATAACCTTTAGTGCCACTTAATTGATTTCCTTCTTGGAAAATCCTTCAGACTTGGGTTGGGGGATTCCCTCTGACTGAGTTCACTCATTCAGTGTTTGTGCCTGATGTGTAATACCCAAACAGATGGCAGAATCACTCTGCTGTAAAGGTGGAATGAGAGTGTGAGCTACAGAAGTGGGGAAAGAACAAGGAGCTGCAGAACTTAAAATGAGAACGTGTGGTGACATGGTTCAAAGAGCACTGAATCTTTCTCCCGAGGAAGTGAGCCCAGGACTTTACCCTCCACAGCATGGTATATTTATAGCTGCATCCTGTACGTTTCATCCCTAGCCTCACGTGATGTCACCAGGGTTGGGATGCTTCTTAAAGTAGTATCATTATACTCAGTTTCTCTACACGGCTACATGAAATTAGCACACCTTGTTTAGTGATGAGCCATTTCTGCGCGTGGCTATGGACAGTGTTACGAGTATTCTTGAGGAATGGAAATGTGCGGTCAGTAGCAAGATCTGCCAAGACTGGATGTACATAAAAGAAAAAGAATTATTTAAGTAGTGCTAAGTACATTATAACAGCAGTGTAAATGGCTCTAAACGTACTATCAATTTTATGGCTATGTTCTCTCTGTACACTATTAAGTACAGCTAAAGTAAAAACTTTTTTCAAGCTTGGAGCAGTGAGCTTTATGGGAGCGAGATTGGCATTTCACTTCGCATTACCGTTCTAGCAAGGAAGTCGCTGTGAACCCAGCAAGGAGTCAGGTACCAAGGTGCAGGCCCAGAGGAAGGCGCATAGTCCTTCCCGTGCATGAAGATCACCAACATTCTCCACTGAAGAGACAAGGCATGTCCATTAATGACCCTGTTGCAGAGGAGCTGGATGTGCACACAGGGCTGGGCCACATTTTGCACCCTCTCCCAGTCACTGTGGCTGACCCGGGCGGCCTGACCCAAGCGGGCCTTTCATACTTACTCAGCATCGCCTTTTGATTATGACCAGAGCACCACCAAAGGGCACTTACAGAATCAAGGCCTGCCTGATGCCGTTGGGAAGAGGGGGCCCTTCCGTTTTCTTAAATTGGGTGATGAGGGCTGCTACTAGTGCTTTCCAGTCAACATGGAAGTACCCCTACAGATGGGCAAACTGGCGAAGCACGAGCTCACACGACTGTTCCTGCTTCCATCTCAAAGCTTGCTCTGACTCGAGAAGGCATCAGATGGCCAGCTTTTTTTTCCTTTCCGCATGTCAGCTCCTGTTTATGTTGCATGCACATACCTGCATCAACTGTGCACAATTTGAAATAAATACGTTTTTCTCCCATTTACTAAAATGCATTTGTGTACATTTAGAAAAGCAGACTTTTATCTGCATTTTTCAAAACTGCACATGCAGTCATACATTAGGGGGTGTCCACAAATCATATTAAAAGCTCAGGAATGTACATACTTTGTCAATTACACCCAAATCCATGTTTGGCCTAGGAGCTGTACACTTTCGTAAGCCCTGATCAAAAACTGAACTGAAGCTGGTTTCTTACAGATCCCTAATCACCCCTTCAACTGACATCTTAGGCAGGGACGATTTAAGCAGTTTTCCTGAAATGAGGGTGGCTGCATTTCAGATCCAGAAGAGCAACTGCTTCTCCTGAGAGGTGATGGGCGCTTCTGGTGCTCCCTGTGAGAGAGGAAAGCATCTGAGCAGAGAAGAAAAGGCAGGGGAGGGCAGAATGCCAGCGTCTTTTCACCCAACCTTAATCAGTTATTTTCACTATTTTCAGCAACTTGGAGTTTGCTTGTATGTTTCAGATTTGTGTGGTGCCTCTTGGTAGACTTGGGGCTCCCTTCCATGCATTTTGGATGTATTATCAACACTTAAGGCAGACAAGAAGATCAGGAGAACAGTGATTACTGTACATACACCAAGGCCTGCTTCATTTGAGGAAATATATAAATTGTGTCGAGCTGCACCATTTATTTCAATGCCTCTGAAATTTCAAATGTTTAAAGGCAGCAGTGCTTTAAAACTGACACAGAGTCTGAAATAAAGACAGTCACAATGGGCAACACAAGAGTAAATAAATCTGTATTCTGTTTGAAATGAAAAGCTTTGTTATTCAACGGATGGGCTGCAACAGCACCACAGGAGCTGTTCTGGTTTATAATGCAAATCATGTAATTTGGGACACACGTTATGTGTATTAAAAATGCAAAGCAAAATCTGTGTGAAATGCTGTTAATTGGCAAATGCCACTTTCAAAGTGTAATTTTCTCAGGCATTTACTTTTTTTTTAGTTTGAAAATTAAAATTAGAATATGTAGAACATTAGCTGCAATTCATTTACTGGATCAAAATAGTTTTTGAGCTACAACAAACTGAAAATGGCAGCTTAAGTAGAAAAATCCAGATTTACAAAATACAGGCATATAAATAGGCAAAGTAAGGCAGGTCCCTTCTTGGGCTGGGCATTTATTTATTTATTTATTTATTTATGAGATTTATCGACTGACCTTTTTAAAGAACTTAAAATGGACTACATCATTCTCTTCCTCCTGCTCTAAATCTTCTCCCCAGAACAATAACGCTGTGAGGTAGGCTGGGCTGAGAGGCTGTGACTGGCCCAGAGTCACCCTGTGGACTCTAGGGCTGAGCAGAGACTAGAATGCAGATTGTCTGAGTCCCATTTGTTCTGAGTTTTGCTCAGTCAAATCTCTGGCTCTGTTCTTGTGTAAATGGAGAGTGGTGTGGTCCAAATTTAACAACTCCTTGTACCAGGCCTATGCTACTTCTGAAGATGCTTTACGGGTGGGGGACCACTTATTATGTCCTGGGAAGAGAAAACCTAAGTGCAAAGCTGTGGACCAGTTCCAGATGCAATGCCAAACTATAGCTGAGCAGCTTGTGTGCATGTCTGCATGAACCCCGGGTTGATGGTGCTCTCCCATCCCTCTCCTCCTCTGGCAAGACAGCAGGGGGATTAGAAGTGTGTGCATCTACTCACTGAATGAACAAACCACAGACACTCTTAGGTCTTAAAGATCATCAGTGCCTTTTCATTAAAAAGACACTAAGTAAATGTGTGCAAATCAGGTTATTTGTGTAATTTGTGCAAACTGGAAGCCCAAGGCTATGCACTTCTAGTGCAATTTTCACAAATTACATGTGCTGGGACTATGTACACTAATTTGCAAAAGTATTCATCTCCCTTTGGCTTTTCTGCATTTTGTTGTGTTACATCTTGGGACTGAAATGAATTGCACTGGCATTGCTTCCAGCTGATGTGAGTAAGATACTCAACACAGTAGAAGCAGAAAATACTATTATTGTAATAGAAAAGCTAACAAAAACCAAACTGGTACCGCTTGGGTGCATAAGTATTTGCATCTTCGTTGTGGCATGTCCAAATAAGGCCTGGTCCAAGCCACTGCCTCCAGGAGAGTAGCTGAATGGAGTCCACCTGTGTGCAATTCCAGTGCTACATGATCTCAAGTTAAATGTACCTCTGGAAGGCCTCAGAGCTTGCTGGAGAGCATATATAAATAAGCATCATCACAAAGACCATGGAGCTATCAACACAACCCTAGGAAAGTTTTACAGAAGTGTCAATCAGGGCTGGATTATTAAAAAAACAAAACAAAACACTTGCTGGATCCAAACATACAAAGCTGACAGAGACCTACCCAAGAAGACTCACAGCTGTAAATGCTCCCAGAGTCACTTTTACAAAAAAATGACTCCGGGGGGGTGGGGGGTGCTGACTACTTATGCAGCCAACAAAAGCCATCCTGTGTTCAGTATCCTGTATACATCAAACGGTGGCAATTCCAAGGAAATCCACTGAGATTCCAAATTGTTAAAAACAAAAGTGATAAAGTCAAAGGGGGCGGGAAGATACTTCTGAAGGCACTGTAGTTTCTGGCTTCCAATTCATGCGAATAGTGTGATTTATGTAATTTGCATCAAACTGTACACATTTGGTAACAAACTGGCCAAATTGTCTTAGCATATTTAGAAAATATGCAACCTGCATCCTGAGACTCAGCCCACTTCCACTGATCTCCAATAAGTGGGACTTTTTCATGTCAGCACCTCCCTAGTAGGCATTGCTATTAAGAGGGCAAGAATGCATTGATCCCTGCCCTGAGGAGCTTCTGAGCCCAAATTCCACCCAGAGAAGCAACAGAAAAAGGGGCAAAAACAGATTTGCATAGGATCCTTTGGGCCATCCATGCTTGCTAGTTAAGTTACAGGAGGTCATGGAAAAATTGGCACAGCGCATTTCTCAGACAGCCATCACAAAGTACCAGTGAAATCAAAAAGGTTCAGCTATCATTCCCAGCAAGGAGAGGAACATGATGAACTTGCCTGCCACACAGTTGTTAAAGATGAGGCACTTACCAGAGAAAAAAGGGTTGCAATTCCAACTGAAAGAACAAACTGCTCAAACAAAAGTCTGGACCTGGAAGGATAAATCTGTCAGTTTCAATATCTTCCACATTCAAATTGTATTAATGTGTTTGCTGCCAAATATGGAGAGCTTTGTGAATTTTATTTATAAACCTATTAGATGTATACCCCACTTTTTTCTTATAAAGAAGGCAGCTTACATTCTCCTCCTCCTCTCAGTCTTATCTGCACAGCAACATCCCTGTGAGAGGTTGGGCTGAGAGTCTGTTGGCTCCATGGCTGATCAGGGACTCGAACTCAGATCACCAGGCCTGAGCTCTTAACCACGACACCACAGTTTTGCTGAACAATCACCAAACTCCAACTGAAATCAGATTTTACCCACCATGAATTAATTGTAGAAACATTCCACAATCAGAGTTTTCCTGTAACTAGGTTGTTGTGAAGTAAGATCCATATTTACTCAGAAATAGGTTCAATGAGGCTTGAACCTCTACACACACTAGTATGCCTGAGATGCATGGTCATAGGACTCCATCCTCAGAATACAAGGCTTCAACAATCTGTCTCACAGAATTCTTGGACAATTCTGAGTCAAACAACTTTATGTTAGTAAAGGCTAATCAAATAATCAGCTAATGAAGCTATGTTAAAATCTTTGCTAGATGAATTAATACCTCCTAGGCTCAGTTCTGAATATTAGTACTAGAATTTACAGAGACTGGTGTCAGCCTGCCCCTCCAATCCCTGGGTTGCTGCCCAGCTTCTTCTACAGTGACAATGACAGTCCATGTTCTGAAAATCATCTGTGAGAAAATGCAGGCTGATTACCTCTTCATAAGCCCAAGCTGGGTTACCAAAATAGAGGTTAAATATAGAAAAGCAGTGTTAGAAACAAGCAGAATCATTGGCTTAGTATAGAACCTGAACAAAGGCTTTCTTAAAATATCATTTAAACTAAGCAAAATGCATGCCACAACTGTCCCAGCACACCAGATGCTGAATGATCATTTCCACAAATTGATCTTTACAAATGATAAAGGCAAGAATGCTTTTTTCTGCATAGAAAATAATTAGGCTCAACTACTTTCCCTCTCACATTAGGAATTTCTTGATGACTTGGCTCTGAAGATGACCATCTTTGCGTAATTGCAAAATGAGACAGGCTTCCAAAATTATTCCAGGGCTGCTGGGAGGGGAAAAAACAACCCAGCAAACCACAGGTACTTCAGAAGGCACTTGGAAGAACCCTCCACACGGAATGCCAAGGATGGTCCGTCCACGGGGCAATGGTCTGTCCACGGGGCTTGCAGGGCTGGCTGCATCTCCAGGACAGGAAGCTGCCTGGTAGACGGATCCACTTCGAAGACCCAGTGAGCACATGGGCTGCCAAGCAGGTTGTTAGGCAACTATCATACTCTCGCCAGTGCTGCCAGTGTGCTGAGCAGGGAGCAGAAGAGAGCAGCTCTGCAAGCGAGCTGTAGGCAGTAGTGCAAAGCAATCCACCCTCTAGCCAGAGCACAGAAAAGAAGCCAGTGGGCAGAAAGGAAAAACTGAGCAGGCAGATGAAGAAAATGCAGAGCTGGGCCTACTAAGCGGATTACAGCTGTATGTACTGACAGTAAAAAGTTATCTGCTTTGCTATTCCGTATATTTATTAGTCTGATAGGGACTGTCCTTTCATATCCAAGATAACCATTTATCGGTTTGAAAAATGCATGATCAAATGCAGGGATAGTAACCATGGCTTTCTTCTCTTGGTGATAAAAAAGGTAGCAGACAAAATCTGTGTGAGAAAACTAGCCGGAAACCACAGCCACCTCTCATCTCGTCTCTCCAGGATGAACGAGAGGTGAGAGGACCTTTGCACCACTTCCATGCCAGACCATGGGCTCCGGCGTACGCCGTGAGTGGGAACCTCAGGCCACGGGTTGGGTCTGGCCTGCCAGACCTCTTCATCCAACCTGCCACCTCCTCCCCTCTGGGCCGTGCCATGACATGGCTCTTCCTCACAGCAGTCTCATGCTAGAGGAGCAGACTCAGGGCACCGCTCCCTGTGTGTGGAGAAAGGGGCAGCCACTTTCCACATGCACAGAAATGAAAAGAGAACGCAGTTGGGGATAGCCAGTGAAAGAAGGGAGGAGAAGGGGAAAGAGAGAAGGGGCAAAGAGAAAAGGTGGAATAGGAAAGGGAACAGGGGAGGTTTGCTTTGGCAACGCTCACTAGGGACATGGACCTGAGATGCAGTGGGATAGCCTTCTGGCCACTTATTCTGAAGCAGATGGGCCCTGACTTAAAATAGCAACACTTCAGCTACTGGGGCTGCAGGAGCACTTCTTCCAAAGAAAAGGGAGCAGAAGCCTGAAGAAAGCAGTTGATACTAAGCAAGTGTGCCACACTTGTGAATCGGCTGAGGTCTGTAGAGTGGGGCTGGATCCTAAGGTAACCTAGTCAAGTTCACAAAAGGAATGCTTGCTACCCTTCCTCCCCTAGCATCTACCTGCATCCCCCTCCCCACCACCAAAAAAGCAACCCGGGTAGGTTAGGGGCCTTCTGCATGATGTGGGGTGCCTTGGAAGAGCTCATGAAAGGAGGAAGGGATGGGAGACTTTGCTTCTGAAAGCCCTATTAAGTGAACCTGGATTCATGCTCCTTCTCAGCCCCCTACAGTCCACTCCACATTGTTCAGGAGCCACCACCAGTTCTCTAGCAAGGGTTTTCCTGCTGTGAGCCTCCTAACTCAGCTGAGGACACCAACCCATGGCTGATTGGGCAGGCTACTGATGTGCACAGAATAAAGACATGAAATCTCACATGGGCCAGTTCACTGCCCACATTCAAGAGCCTCCATTGGTGTTGTAATAAGAGATTTGGCTTCTATGGTTCATTATGACTTTTCAGATAATGCACAGGTAACCAAGGGAGGGGGGGAGAACCTCACACTGTATCATCAGTGGTGACTCCAATACAATATACATTCTTTGTGAAGAATGGCCTCTATGTCAAGCTGAAATATCATAGTCTAAGGATGGCATAGTCCAGGTAAGGGGAAGGGACAGAAAGTTGTGCCATCTCTTTGCAGATAACCTGGCTGCTAAATGTGTGAAATGTTACACAATACCACCCCTTAAAAGCTAGCCAAAGACTAGCAGAGAATAGTTGTATGGGTAGGAAGGTGTATGTTGGCTGCCCTGCACTTTTCTGTATTCTGCTTCTTCACAGTA